TGCTGTATTTGTCTGTGCAGACTCCAGAAGTTACAGCAACTGACCACCTTTTAGAGGTCTGTGGGAAGTACCTTTCTCGGTTGTGTGAACTTCTTCTGTGTGACCAAACATCTTCCAGAGGCTGCTGACCACAGGCTTCACCTGTTACACTGCTGGCTAACCTCTTAAACCTCTTATTTTCACAGGATCTTGTAAAAGCTTGCATGGACAGGGTGCTGGGCCATCTAGTCTAGGTCATGCTTTGCCAAGAAAGGTTGGACCAGATGATCCTTGAGGTCCCTTCCAACCTGATTCTGTGTGCTTGTATCAACTTCTCTTTGGCTGGCTCATTTATTTGCATGCTTCATAAGTCTGCCCTTGTAAGCAAGAGTTTGCAAGTGTGTCTCAGGCTGCTGCCTCTCAAACAAATTTAGCGCTAGTGAAGTAGTGGAGGAAGTCTTTTTAATGGATTTTTGTTTTCTAGGAAGGAGCAGACTTCCAGCGGTACTGATGATTTTTATCAATATTTTTAAGTCCAAGACATTGGAATTTTCAGCAGTGGGGAGTAGCATTAGAAGGTTGCTTTTTTTTGGTCAATAAATGCAAATACAAGGGTATTTTTCTGACCTATAGTTACTTGTTAGCAAAATGAATTGTTACATGTGAGGGGTAAATTGAACTTCATTGCTGAGATCTTAGCAGCTCTGCAGTGTGTGTGTATTATCTAGTTGTATGAAAAGCAAAGTTCAGGCTGTGAACTGAATATGTAGGTCCTGATGGTATTTGCTCTGTGTGTGAAGCACTATCCCATCATGTACATAGTCATTGCCGGTGATACTCCTCAGAAACCTCAAAGTGTGCAGGCAGTGGAGTCATTAGGGAATACTTTGTTTTCCCTTGTTAGAGCTGGCTATTTTATGCTGTCTCAGTAAACTGAATAAAGCTGAGTTGCCTTTTGACCACAATATAAATGAAAGTTTTAAGGTAAATAAATAGTTTTCCCACAGCTGAAACTAATGTCTAACACCTATAAACATCCACAAAAACACTGAAATACCTGCATATGCCTGTAAGCAGATGCCTGTTACATAGTTTTGTTAAGGTAAGGGAAGATGTGGTAAGGGAAAAGAACCAAGAGTGTGAGTTAGGCTGATACTGCCTCTGAAAGAACCAGTTCTTGCACTAGATCCCTAAACCCAAATGGAGTAAGATTCCCTCAAGTAATAAAAATTATGGTTATCTTTTGAATTTTATTTCCCATATACTATGGTATCATCCAGACTGAACTGCAGTCAGCCCACCTCCTGCTTTACTCAGCACTTGAAAGCCACTTGGGTACAGTGATGATGTGAGGTGTAAAACAGGGATGAGTGATGTTATCCACGCACTGATGTCACATCATGCTGGAGCTCTCATGTCCTAAAACCGCAGGTAGATCTTGACGAGGTGCCTTGGGATTTTGGAGCCCCAGGTGTGTGAAGCAGGTGAAGAAAGAAGTCATATATCTGAATGACGTGACTAAACAAATTCTGTGAAAGAAAGCGGGTAACTTCATCTTTACTTCATGAAAACTCACCTGGCTGGAGTATGTACTTGGTGTAGCTGCTCTTTCTGTAGATTCCAGAGTGGTTGCACTTCTGCTTTTTATGATGGTTTTGGTGGGCTTGCTGCCTTTCCCGCTGTGACTTTGAAGGGACTGAGTTGTTAGGACAGTGTATTTGCTTAAACACAGATTTGTGGAATCTTAAAGGGGAGGGACAAGAATTGGCTGGAGATGATGATGGTAGCTTTTAAGGGCAGCATACAAAGTACAGGACATCAGACTTTCCACTGTTGTCTGTGCCTGGCCAGGTGCTTAAGCTGGTACCCCTTATATAGAGGAATACTCCACAAATACTGGAGGGACATCCAGTTTTCTCTTGGTCCTCACAGCCAAAGGAAGGTATTTCTAAAAGCAAATATCCACTTCATGGCAGGCAAAAACCTGAATTATTCATAGGTACAAAGCCTGAAGCTATGTGTCATGTTCATTTTAGCACTGAGTTGGAGCTTTCTTGACCTATGTTCTTTGTAATTAAAAACAAATCCCTCAAATCCAAGATCTGTTTGGAAAGGGTTCTGTAATGCTAGGGCAGCGTGTATTGTCATGCTCTCATGCCTGCCCTAACTGTATGGATTTAGTTATAGGAGCTGCTGGACTCCTGCACTTCCATTGATTTGTCACGGTCTACAAATCCTGTAGTTTCTTAACACCATGAGATGCAGAAATTACTTAAAGAAAATACTAGTGTGTATTTATTGTGAATACACTGCGTACAATTTTATTACATTTATATTAAAAGAAGTTGAGATGCGTTTTGCTTTATTTACACTATTTTCAGGCTGTTTTCCTTTTGCCTAAATGAAACCCTTTTGATGCTCTTGCTTGTCTGGCTGGCTGCAAACCAGGTATTTAAACAAAAATAAAGAGTTGCCAGTTTTGCCAGCTGGGGATGAGAACCCGGCTGGTGCTATGTGGGTTCGGGAGGCAGTTAATCCAGCTTTTATGCTTTTTTATGATTTTATGTAAAAAGAGGTTAAAAATCACATTTGGCTCTTTCTTTGTACCACTGTTTTGTTGCTGTTGTGGGAATGCAGCAAAAGGTTTCTCGTACTTTTTATTATTATTAGGTAAAGTCCTGCATAAATTAGGGAAAGCCACAGATACAGTTTGCTTTAGCTACTAGCTGTGTGATTTGCCTTGCTTATGTTTTATCTTCCCATTGACTTCTTTTATAAATCGCACATGCAAACCACACCTCAACTTACTTGTTAAAAGAATCTACCACTGCCTTCAGTTTTATGTATTTTACTAGCTGCAAAGGAAAAGAGTAGCTAACTGTACAGATAGGAGAAATAGTAACAGTGCTAATAGGTGTAGGAGAAAAATATAGAATGTTTTTATTCTGTGGCACAAGAAACGGTGATTTAAAGACAAGTGTCACAGATTCCATATACAGTTTTTCAGCAAATAGCTTGCAATATGTTCGAACTCATAAAACATTTAATTAATTTTAAAATGCAAGAGTTATTTTAGTTTTGTCATATGTACTTATTCAGATAATTTGTTGTATTTTACACTTCCCAAAATTTCACCCTCTATTTGAAAATATGAATGATGTAACGAGTCTGTTTTGGCACAGTTGTAAATAGTATGTGTTAATGTGTTAATATTTATGATTTTTTAGTCTTATATACACAAGAGGGATTTTTAATATACTTCTTTTCATCATGTTTCTACTACTAATCCTTAAGGACAGGGAAGACTAAGAACATGAATGCATTAATAGTTGTGGGATTGTCAAAATTGCCATACTAGATCAGGTAGCATTTTGTTTCTGCTAGTAGCATGTACCAGATACTTCAAAGCAGGCTTGGATTTACTGGGGGAGAAAATGGGGAGGCAGAAAAAACGGACTTGATACCTTCATTAGGACTGGTGAGAGTAGTGCATGTGTCCTATGGTGTGGTCACAGCCACTTAATGTCCCCAGATGGGCAAAGGCTTTGTCTGTCCCTGCTTCAGAGGAAATTACTGGCAGTCCTCTTACACTTTTTAGACAATCACAAGATTGTAGCAAAAGGTTTACTCGTAGCAAAAGGCTTCTGATCTGTTAGAGGTGGCCTTGTTCATTAAAGCCTGAAGACTTTGCTACACATTGCCAGATTTTCAATACTATATATCTAAATGACTGTTCCTATTTGTCTGCTCACAGTTTGTATCTGTGGTGGTGATGGCATGTGTCTGCGTGTTGTAGAAGTATTCTGTTTTCTAAGGATTAGTTTGTTGTTGCTTTCTTAGATTTATTTTTAAATCAGTTATGTGTTGCCTTCCGGAAGCCGTCTTTTAGTGATGTAGAAATAAGTCTTTATGCTGAATTGTTTAATTCTTTATAAGTATAGTCCAACTCTATTAATTATTTCTTTTCGCTTTCTTGCTGTTTATTATTTAAGTCTGATTTCTTGTTTAAGGTTTTTGCCTCTGCAGCAGATATTGGCTATTTAGCACATACAATTGTCTTGCCTTCTGTTACCATTTATTAACTTCTGACTTGGTTCTTTTCAAAATGAAAGGGTATGATCTGCTAGAAATTCAAGAAATTGGAATTATATGTGTATATATTCAGTAGCCTCCAGTTTCCTTATTGCTTATGGTTTCATTATGGGTGTGTGCTGCTGTTGTCTCCATTTCTACAATGTAATATGGAGGTGTATTAAGGTTAAGACACACTCTTTAGATTCCTTCTTCCAATTCTCTGAGGCTGCTGGAAGGAGGACTGTAGAGTATGTTGTTTTTAGATACACAGCATTGGAGACACTATGTTAACAAATGATACAAACATTCCCATGTTTCTGTAATTGTATACTGTCATATAAACATAATATCATAGTAAACATTGTCATATTTCTTTGCATTAAAGCAGGCCAGCTGTTTGGACTATTTCATGGAATATAATGAAACTGTCAGGAGAAACGCATTGAGGACTTTTAGTATAAACAAAGATCATAAAGAAGCTAAGCTTGTCTTAGTAAGATTAAAGTGTTTCTAAATTTGAGGCTTTATTTTCTTACAGGTGGGGTAAAGAGAAAAGAAGCGACTGAGCAAGGAGATGATACGCTTCTTCTTCCAGAAGAATTCTAACTGAGGCAGTAGTACCCATAGATAGTGTCTCTTCCTAAAGTTGTGCACACTATAAAGGGGATGATAGAGGACATAAGAAAGGGGAAAATGCAGTCATGATCGTTTTGAGCAAGTCATCCTAAATTTTTTATTTTGCTTTTAGCAATATGCCTGGAATTTCATAGAGCTCAGGTGTGTCAGTACTGCAATTGCATGTATTGAGCCTCGTTCTTGGAATTCTTGTAGCACACTGTGAAAATAAACTCTTGGAAACACATTCATAATGAGATGTGTCAAATAGACAGAAAAGATCACGTCTGAAATAGTGCATGTCTTACAGCTGGTTTTGGTTTCTGTCTTAGGTGTTGGAAGATAATGACTATGGTCGTGCAGTGGACTGGTGGGGATTAGGAGTTGTCATGTATGAGATGATGTGTGGAAGACTACCATTCTACAACCAAGATCATGAGAAACTATTTGAACTGATACTAATGGAGGACATAAAATTTCCTCGAACTCTGTCTGCAGATGCAAAATCATTACTATCAGGCCTACTGATAAAGGATCCAAATAAGCGGTAAGTGAAATTATTTGGGTATACTGGCACCATAAATACTCTAGTTATACTGGGTAATGTAAAAATAGGCCCATGATTCCTGGCCTTCCTGACAGAGGGACCTCTCAGTCACAGGAAAAGGCCATATGCATCCATACAGTCTCAGCTTTCCACTTTTTCAATACAGCAAAAATATACAAAGTGAGTTTAATGAGCAAAAGGGGAAAAATCACGTGGAAAAGAACACTTTCTTAGTCATTCACAGGGATCTTTTCAGGTTTAGATTGTGTACTGGAACAAAGGGAGAGCTCTCAATCATTTTGCAGAGTGTGATTTAACTCCGAGTTTGCTGTAGTGTCTCATGGGGACTGCAGTGCCTTTTTTTGGAAGTGATCATGCTAGAAGACATGTATAGACTAAATTTCATTAGGGCACATAAATCATATATTAGACCACGTAAACTAGTAACATTAAAAATATATATCTGAGTGGAATTTAGATATAGTGGTTTGAAAGCAAGTGTCACGTAGCTCCTGCCTGTGCCCTTTTGTGTTGGGCATTTGCCTCTGGGATTGTTGCCTAGGAGAACCATTTTCCAGTGGTTTCTGCACTGGACCAGCAGCGTCTAGTCCCCTGTGGTTCTGAACTAAATCTCTGTCTTTGTAAATCAGTAAGATTTGTCTGTAGGTCCCCTTTCTTCCCCAGTCCCTCTGTTGTGTTTTCAAGTCTCTTGGCATGTTTTAAGGCTGCAGGCATTCTTCTGTCTGTTTGTCTCTTCTTTAGTCCTCTTGCATCCTCAGTTTGTTCTCAAAAAGTTTTTAGTAGTGGGCATGTTGCTGTGTCACTCCAAGGGATTTGCCTGAATGCAGCCAAGTGCAGCAGCCAGGAAGGACAGCACAAGTAGTCAGCCTTCCTGCTGCTGCCCAGCAATGCCAGTTTAACTGAATTTACCGTGTGCACTAAAAGCAAACTGTGACCAACCAGCTAAATACATGGAGAGTAAAGTAAAAATTTGCGCCTGTAGCAACCCCTAATGCATTTTTAACCTCCAAACAATCTGACCCATCAAATATATAAACCTTTAGAATTTAAAAGATAGTCCTTTGTAATTAATCTTTGCAGACAGTAATGTTTATTAGAGACATTTACAAGCTTATTCACATTCAAGTTCTTATTCTAGCTGATGCTAAATAGAGTGGGAGCCCACAGGTTAACTGAAGCTCAGCTTTTCTCTGAGCAGCTGGATGGGAAGATAATGAGAGAAGTCTGGAGACTGCAGGCTAACTGGAATACTTTGCGGAGATGTAGTGAATTTTACAATAAGTAATTGAGAAACAAAGAGGAATACAGCTTGGAAATAACTTTACACCCAGTCTCTGCAGGACTGAGTATTCCAGAATACTTTTGTAATTTGGCAGCAGGGTAGTACCAACACAAATTCATTTTTTTTTCCTTACTTGTGGGAATTATTGCTTCTTGCAATATATGCTTTAGAGAGAAATCTGTCTTACTTAAAAGGTTGCTTTAAAAATTTCTCTTTATGTCTTTAGCAGTGCCTTTTACTGAAGGACAGATTGCTTGTGTCACTCTTCTTGTCCATATTTAATATACATGGGCTGCTTATTCAGTTAAGAGGAGCTTTTTTTCCTGTTGCAGTTTCTTTCTGTTAGTCCAGTAGGATAGCCAGTCTCAGGAAGAAGTTAGATGAGAGCAGAGCAGTGGTGAGAGTCCACGTGCTGTTAAAAGGGGCAGAGATTCCCTTTACTGGATGTGTGGTTCTTTCTTGGCCACCACCAGCAGCTCAGGGATGCTCACTAAACTTGTTTAATCAAATTTAACTTACTAATGAAACAAAAACCTGACAGTTCTGTCTTGTTTTCTCATTGCTGGGTTAGATTTCTTCTAAGTAAGTGAGCTGACTCAGCTCAGAGTCATCAGTGGGAATGATGCTGTGGATGCAAGTGAGAAGGGAGAGGTATAGGCAGGGGTGGGACCCTGTTTTGGCAGCAGTGGCCACTTTGTCGAGCTCAGATCACCTTGGGCAAGTTCACCCAAAGTAGGTGGAATTCAGTTCCTAGGATGATTTACCAGACAGTCTGGCTTCGGCAAGCTGTGGGCCATAGTGAGTATTGTGGTTATTTACAATGGCCCTTAAATAACCTTCTCAGCAGGCCTACAATTTATTAATTTATACTAATTGACTCAGATTGAGACTATTTTATGGTAATTGGTTAATTGTTACAGCACCCAGATGCAACAGCAGTGAACACTGTATAAAAATGATGTGTGAGTCATTACTGATTCAGTGCCTGGCACCTCCTTGGCAAAATTTTATGTCAGCATTGTTGGGTTGGTTTTGGTTTTTAGTAGTGCCAGGAAATCAGTTGGTCTTTCAAGAAAACCAAACTTAAGTATGTTTTTAAAATGAATGAATTATTAAAAAAGCTTATCATGGACAGTAATGAGCACTGTAGTTGGAATAATCAAAGCAGAATAGACCATGGCATAGATACTTCTGCTATCAGATCACCTGAATTCGTATTAAATAGGTGAGAATTACACATTAAGAGGGTGAGAATTGTTCCCAGGTAGTCACTTTTCCAACCATTACAATAACTAATCTTCCTTTGGAGAAATGCTTGTTTAATATGATCTCTTTTCCACTCTCTTCAGACTTGGTGGAGGCCCAGATGATGCAAAAGAAATCATGCGTCATAGTTTCTTTGCTGGAGTAAACTGGCAAGATGTGTATGATAAGAAGGTATGTCTTTACATGACATTGAATAATCTGGCTTCTGCAAAGTGGTTTCCATGAATAGTCATAGGACTGCTGCTCTCTGAAGTTAGTGTTTTTCTTTGCAACTTTTTGTGTTAATACAAATGAATAATTGTTCTGAACTAGGTGTGCTTACTTAATCTTTTGGGTTTTAGTAACAATTTTCCAGTGGAACAAAAATAAATTTTGAAACCCTACTTAAACTCAGCAAAGATTATTTTATTTTATTATGTAAATGTCCGGATTTTTTCCTTTCCTTTTTTCTTCCTGGGCCTTCAAGAGAAAAGTAAGTGTCTCAAGATAATGGCAGAACATGGAATTGAAGTTTGTCCTGAATTGTCTTTTTATTTCTGCCTTTTATTGAAAAGCTATTTTACGGAAATAGGAAGATTAAGTCATTGGAAGGGACTCACAGCAAAACCCTGGTTTCTGATTGTTTGTGTTTAAGAAGAAATCTTTTTCAAACTGATTTTTAAAGAGATATCTAAGAAAATTAAAATAGCATTAAAACACTGAGCCAAAACAGCTTGTGGAGAAAGCAAGTACTGGGAATTCAATTGGAACAGTTTTCTCTAAACCCGGTCCTGTTCCTGTAATGATCAACACTTTGGGGATGATTTTAGAAAATGAATTTATCTTACTCAGTAGTGAAACTCAATTTGACTTAAGTTGTTTTATATACAGAAGCCGATTTTATCTCAGTACTTGTGTAAGAATTTACTTGTTGCTATAAACCCCTTCTATTTTGATAAAGTCTTTTTTTTATATACCCCAACTGTTTTACATTGTTAATCTGTCAGTTGAGCTTGTGTAATTTTAAAAGATAGATTTTTCTCCTTTTTTTGCTTTGTTCAAATAAAAGGAAAATGGAAGACATACGAAGGAGCAGAATATGTTTATGCTACAACGTCAATGATACAAACTGTTTTTTCAGTTGTTGTTGAACTGGAATTTTGAAAATGTGTGGTTGTTGGTGTGGTACTTCTCTGACAAATACCGGAATTGAAATAGGAGCCTGGATATGATGATACAAAATATGGTACTCTGAAGTTACTTGGTACAAGTGTGATTTTTCCCTGGCAGTATCATGAGGTTTCAGGAAACTCTAAAATAAATAATCAGAGCAAGTATAATAATCAGGTTCTTTATGAGCTCAACCACTGGCTGGTTATTTAAGGACATTGGAGGAAAGCACTTTGAGGATAAAATCTAAAAATACAAGTTGAGGACCTTTAGAGTTTGTAAAAACCCCACTAAAATCAATTGGATTGCAATGTGCTAGGAGTGGGTGAGAAAGAAAAAGCTGTTACATTACTCTTGCTCTGTTGAGAAAGATTTCTTAATTATTCTACATTAGAAATAGAATTCTCAATTCTACACTCAACATTATGTTTAGTTAGGAAAATACAGATACTCTTAATTTTTAAACAAGTATTTTGAGTCTTTCCATACGACCACGGCAAATGTCTTTCAGTCAAGAACTTACTCTGAGCTATTAAAATCAAAGGGGGTATATTGCAGGCATTAAAATAAATTATATAAATATATGTAATTGCGGGTATTTTGTTTTTATACTCGTGGAGGTGGATATGGCTTATTAGAGTGTTATAACAGGAGAAATTGTAGTCATTCATTGTTTACTCTGTCGTTCCTTTGAGAAACTAAATTTGCTAGTAAAAAAATCAGTTGAATTTCCTCAGCTGAACAGTTAACTTCAAGGATCATAGAATTGTTTTTCTGCAGTCCTGGCACACCATGTATTCTTTATGGAAAAATAGCTCGTGAAGATGTCTTCTGACAGTATGCTTTTCTGTTTAATTAAGAAATAGTTTTGTTCCTATTACAAAGCCATTTGTCTGGTTGGTTAAAATACCCAATTGTTCTTTCTGCACACACAGTCTTACCAGTTCTGAAGTATGCAAGGAGTAAAACTGCTCTGAAATACAAACTTGAAACATAATAATAAGGTTAATGAACTTTCACTGAGTATGTTTATTAGAATGCTTATATGAATATTTTTGAGGTTTTGGTATTCTAAAATAACTCGTGAGGAATGTGCATCCAAAAAATTTGATTTTCAAATCGATTTATTCTATGCTTGCTTCTGTTGCTGTTTATTATTAGTAGTATAGTCTTCAGCAGTAGGGTCACTTGATGAAATTGATAGTTGATATAATTATTTGCATAGTAAAAATATTTCACAGTATTCTTGTCTGAGGTTTATGCACTATGAAACCATAATTTTCTGGCTGCATTTCAGGAGTGTGTTGCTGTTAGCAATGAAAGAACTGAAGTTCATATTCAGAGTAATGGAAACCAAAAAATCATTTGTGTTCCAAGTAGTTGCTGGGGGATGGTTTAGTACATGTGCACACTCTGCTCCTGTGCCACAAATTGTAGCATTTTTTTGCTAGAGATTAGGGTTAGTACATCTCTGTGCTTACTAGGTTATCGCTTTACTGGTGTGATTAGAGACACAATTATAGATCTGTAAACTTAAGAGTATTTCATGCAATAAACAGTAGCTCTGTAGGGTAAATGATCCAAATGGTCAAATGGAATTATTAGCTCTCTGATACTGCTAACGAGTTAAACAAATCTGATACTACATAATGACAATAAAACATTGTATGGGCACGCTGGAGCAGAGAAGGTCGTTGCCTTTAAATGAAAAATGTATAGTAGTTAGCATTTGTGATCAGATATATTTATTTTTGGCAGAAAAACCATGAGGGCATATGAAAGAGAGCAGCCTGTGCCAGGTTCTTCCTGTGATCATCTCAGCCCTGATGAGTTTTTAGCTCTGTGCCTGGGTATGAGAAATTGAATAGTTTGGCAAACTCTGAAGACTTCAAAACCCCATATACTGCTAAATAAAATATTTGCTTTATTTTTAGCTAGGATCGGGAAGCTTTAAAAATTTCTCTGTTACTCATTTAGGAATTGTTTTAGCTTATTTTTATTTGGATTGCAGAAATGTTCTTAAGTAGTTGGATGTTCTGTCTAGGGTCTTTCACTGAGCAAAAAACACATGGGCATTAGTGTAAAGATAGCAATTTGGGTATGCCTTCAGGATTGAAGCTTGAAGCCCTTAGGTAGAGTCATGGCAAAGGAGATCCAGCCCATGTAGCGAAGCCTGGGTTTCCTACTGCATGTAATACGGATGAAAGAAGAAAGAAACCATATGGGAATTTGGGCTGAGATGCAGATCTATCCTTTTGATTTCTGATTGTTTCTGAAGCAAATTAGGGAGTGCTAACATATTTATTAGTTAGCACTGGGAAGGGAGTAGGGACAAGTGTCGGTTATGGTTAAAGCTGGGTTGTCTGACTTGGCTGCAGGCACACTCCCCTGTGTGGAGGCTGCGACTTTCGGCATGGAGTCTGACAGCTGCAAGGAGCTGTTCCTTACCTTTCCTTACCTCTGCTTTACTTAAGACAGAACAACAGCAGATGATGAAATCCCCTGGTTGAAGCCTGGGTTCAGGCCTGGCAAAATCTGCAATATAACTATAATCTGAAATGCATGTTGAGGTACTTTCGTATTGGAAGGAGAGAAAATGAGGGAAATAGGAAAATACCAACATCTGGTTTTAGGCTGTTGCTATTTGAGTCTTACTATTTTTGTACAAATACCTGTAGTGCAACAAAGCCTGCAGAAATGACCCTCATTACTTGCTTTTGTGTTGTTGCCATGCGAAGTAGTAAAAAGATCAGAGAACTGCTAACCAGTCTGATCTTTTCATTGTGTTTCCAGTGACACTTCAAACTATATGGGGCAGACCTAGTGGTTGATTACCACCCTTTCCCCCAGCTGCTTAAATTTACAGGGAGGAAAATATACATAATGGTGTCTGATTCTTAAATTGTTGCTGTAGTCCTGGGAATGTGGTTTCTCTCTGTCCGTGATACCAGCATGTTATCACTTGGAAAACAGTTTGTCCATGGGCAAAACCCCCTGCTGAAGCCTGCCTTGCTGTGCATTTGTGCCGTGAGTCATTCCACCACTGAAATCCCAGCCTTTCCTCCTCCCCTGCCTAGGACAACCACATGCAGTGTCCTAGCAGCATGCTTTGTAAGTTACTGGATTTCAGTTTATGTGTGAATAGACTGTTTACTTGGAACATCGTGTAGTAAGTTAGCTGGTTTGTTGATACAAATACTTTTTATTTGATTTGGGAAGTCTGCCTGTGAACTGTGACGTTCTTTTAGCACTTCCAGCTGAGCAGAAGTGTGTGTAAATACGAAAGTGTATTTCACTGATGTAACCCCATTCTCTTCTCACAGTACACTTTATTTTTCCCACCATTCTGATTTGGCTGATCTGTCTCCTCTGTTTAATTCTAGAAAATAACAACTTTGCAGGTTTGGTTCTTCAGAAAAGTTTAAGGTAGATGAAAGTTTGATGTCTGGACATCAAGTCATTAACTTTCATAGTCAGAAAGACTGTAAGACTTGACACTGTTTTTGACATACATCAGCCTTCAATAATAAACTGGAGGGAAATTGCCTAAATATAGCATATGGTGACAGTACAAGGCTTTACTGAAATAACTGTGTTGTAGTTATTTTTATAATAGATTTTCAAAGTACATGTAAGAAAAGCAGAATTCATCTAATACATTGTAATTTATTAATAAAGAAGAGGCATATCAGTTGGGATGCAGCAGAGATTGTTTTTGAAATCAGACAACTTGGAATGTCATACTGAAGTTGAACCATAAGTAAGATTCAAATAGTTACTCCTCCAGAATAAAACCTGAAATTGAAGAACAGTGCTTACTCTTTTATATTTATATGACACATAAAGAATTAGTGTGTTTGGGAGTTTTGAGATTATAATCTAGTTATCTTGTTTATTTAAATGCATCATTCAGTGGGGGTGGTGTATAGCTGCTTCTCTTCCTTTCACACTTTATCTCAGAATACTATGCAGCTGCAGTCTGTTGGTGGATGAGATTCTTATGGCAGTGTTAATTCTGAGTT